AGTTTATTACTTACCATACTTAAGAAATACTAATATAAAATGCATACATTACAGATTAAAATTAAGATAAGCCCAAAAAGATTAGTTTTTAAAAAGAAAATGCTATATGGATCAGTTGTTGAAATGTTCGCGAACAGCAGATAGTTGAACATTGCAGCAGTTACAGCAGATGCTACCAATAGCACTGACATTGGGAGTTGGACAAACAATTCAGATTCTCAGCTTGGAAGGCTGTTGAAATCCTTTGTCTGTATTTTTTTTGGTTTAAATTGAATTGCAGCGCTCAAACTGAGAGGGGGTCTCAGGAAACATATAAAATTATGAAGGGAATAGACAAGATAGAAGTAGAGAGGATGTTTCCACTGACAGGTGAAGCTAGGACAAGAGGGCATAGCCTCAAGATTAGAGGGAGCAGATTTAGGACGGAACTGAGAAGGAATTTCTTCACCCAGGGAAGTTAATCTTGCCCAGGGAAGTAGTTGACACAGTAAACGTTTTTAAAGATAAGGTAGATTTTTTTTTGAACAATAAAGGAATTAAGGGATACGGTGAGAATGCAGGTAAGTGGTCCTGAGTCCACGAAAGGATCAGCCATGATTTTATTGAATGGCGGAGCAGGCTCGAAGGGCCAGACGTCCTACTCCTGCTCCTAGTTCTTATGTTCTTATGTCTTTCTTTACCCGAAACATAGCAGTGACAAGGGGACATTTCTTCAACTGTGACCTTTATATCACGCTAATGCGCAGACATGATGGTAAACACAAGACCCTTCAGTCCCATTAGTTCATTCCATTCAAGTTGAAACATTTTTATCCCCTGCCCTTTTGTATTCTTCCAAGAGGAGAAAAAACACAAATGTGCCTGCAGTCAATAACTCTCCATTATCTTTTTAGTCTCAAGCTCAGTTTGTTTGATGTTACTTTAAGACCTTTGGGTGTTATCTTCCATCAATCTCTATCTAGACAGCCACTTAATTGACACCCATCTTTAAAGAAATACATTTTGGAATTAAGACAAGAAATAGCCAAAGTACTTTGGAGGTCTGATCCTATCCTTTCATAACAGGAATTACTGACTACAGGGAATAAATCCAACTTCTCACTGTCCCAGAATATACACAGCCTTGAAAGTCACTGTGAAATAGTAAACAGCATTAAATATTCAGATAGAATGGGACAGAGAAACTGCAGGAATAAAATATGGCTGAAGTTAGAAAGTAGTACAATAAGCATTTTACATGTGCCTGATACCGACTAAATCGGATACTTTGCAAAGGTAGCACAACTCAGGAGGGATGTCCAAATCACTGAATAATACATAAAAACGCATTAGACAGCCAAAAAAAAATAGCAACTATTAATCAATGTGAAACTGAGCTGTGTGGCACTGAATAGTATCTTCTCCTCCACTCAAATTAGCGTGTTTCCTGCTCTCTCAAGTGTATACTCCCACCCTTACCAACCCCTTCCCACAAACTGACATTAGCTTTGCATGCATACATTTCCGACGTTGTAAATTCACCTTCTATTCAATGCTCAGTTTGAAGGGATCCATTCCAATGAAACTCCACATTCCTCAGATGGGAATCACACTTAGC